AGAGAGAGAGAGAGAGAGAGAGAGAGAGAGAGAGAGAGAGAGAGAGAGAAAGCTATCTGAAATTCAGCAAAGGACTTTTTTAACGGGTCGAGTTTCCGAATCTCGCCTCCGACGCACAAATGGAATTTACTCCGACGAAGAGAATTACTCCGACGACTACGAGCTAACACAGGTTTCCTTTTTCTTTTCTATCCTACACGACCGTCCTACCTTCTCCCTTTCCCTTTCCCTTATTTCCTCTCATGTCCATCCACTCTCTTTCATCTTGCAGGCAAAGCCTCGCTAACATTTCAACCCCTCGATACGAGAAAAAGAGAAAGAAGAAGAAGTTGTAGTAGTAGAACTAGTAGCAGTAGAAGGTAGAGGTGGATGAAGAGGAAGGAAGAAGAGAATGTGAAACGGAAGGAAAGAAAGAGAGAACAAATAGAGAAAAAAAAAAGAAAAAAAAAAAGATATATCGACGTAACACAAGAGTCGATCGTATCGTATCATTTCTTTCTATCCTTGTTTGTTTACTGTTACACACATATAAGCAACATCTTGTCGGATTATTTCTCTTCTTCTTCTTTTTCTCATTTTTACCGACCTACCAAAGAGGAACTTATTGTGACAGCAAATCATTGTCCTGCGTTTCAGCAAAATTGCGCACGATGAATGCGTCGCCCTTAAAGCGTCGAGGGTCAGTATAAAGCCCCCCCCACCTCCTTTACCTCAACCTCATCTTCCTTCTTTTTTCGTCTCTTTTCTCACAATCGACCTTCCTTATCCTTAGATATATAGAAACGTCTTTTAATCTTTGTTAAAAAGCAATACGATCAAAATACGATAGTCCCCCTTTACGAACAATATCATCTAAATAGGATCAAAATGCGAGGGAGTGAACTGACTATTAAAAAAAAGATACAATCTTGTTCCGATTGTACATATATATATATATATATATATCTTTCTGTGTGTTTCTTTTTCATTTGTGAAATGAATGAAATAGCAAAACAAAATATGTTGAATTGGCGTAAATTTTTCGACTACTTTCTCCGTCGTTTGTTCGCATTACGTAAAAACGTTGTAAAATTTTTTTTTGACCGATAAAAAAAAAATACCGAAACTGGTTAAGTACACGTAGTATACGTAGGCCAGACGACACTGTCCGTCCCTTTCTCGTTGTAGTCCAGTCAAAATAGCCCTGAAATCGGGTTTTTGAGCTATACGGCTGAAAAAATATGGAAATTATCAGAAAAATGCGTACAATACTGTGGNTTTTTATTGAATTTTCATTTTTTGAGTACTTTGAACCGTCGTAGGGGTGAAAGGGTGCGTTTTAGGGGAAAAATGGTCTAATATAGATAGGCCTAAAATTTTATGCTCTACAACTTTTATTTGAAACTTTTTTTGATATTTTTAACATATAATCCAMAAATCGTATTTTDRGRTAGTTTWTAATTTTTTTCACCCCTTTCCCGGTGGTTGAGAACTTTTTTACTTTGCCCACAGTATTGTACGCATTTTTCTGATAATTTCCATATTTTTTCAGCCGTATAGCTCAAAAACCCGATTTCAGGGCTATTTTGACTGGACTATTGTTAGTAGTTGGAAAGACGACGGCACCAACGACTAGTTGGCAAAAGTATCGCATCGCTCAAGGTAAGACTTTATCGTTGCGAACGACGGTTGCTCTTTTATTGAACATAAACATAATTATTTCTCGTTATGCAACTGTATGACGGCTTAGTATTACTCGTTTGAAGAACAGGGCGGACACGAAACACACCCGTAATACGAAATCATCGTCTCGATTCACGCTTTTTTTAATCAAATTTTCTGTTTTCTTTTTTTTTCACTTTTTTTGTGACACACACACACGCACACACATCTATTACCAGAAAGAACAAAAAAGAAAAACAACGAAAAATTTTTTTTTTCGATTGGGTTTTTATTTCAAGAAATAGTTTGAAAAGATTTGAAGTGACGGAACACGAAATAACGATCGATCGATCGATCGATCGATCTATTCGAGGTTTGAAGATTACGCATTGGCAAGTTAGTTAGCAGCTTGCTTAGCAGTTAAGCTACCTAAGCTTAAATTAACTAGCTAGCTAGCTAGAGAGTTAGATAGATAGGTTAGCTGGGTTGTACCTATACAACCTACTTCGTCAAGTCTACCGAAGTAAATGAAGTCAAGCGAGATCTCGTTTGTGCATTAGGAAAATAAAAATTCCGTTTTCTTCAGTGTTCTCAAACCCTGACGCATAAGTACCGTCTGGCATGCAAACCAAACTCAAATTCAAATTTGATTTCAGTAAGGTAGCACGAAACGCGCTAAGCTACTTCTTTCTAAAGCACGAACAAGTACGAAATATTACCACGAGAAAACATTTTCTGTAAATCGTTCGTCAAATCGTGTGCCACGACTAAATACGTAAAAGAATGAATATCCTAGCTAACAACCTTTTTCCTCCTCCTCCTCCTTCTCGAGTCACCTCGTTCTTCTTGAGAGGGCTGACGATTTTCTTTTTCTTACTTTCTCAATTATTATTCTTTTACGTTCAAATTTCTGATCTACGTTCGATTACTATTCTGTTTAACTTTGAAGAATATTAACGTCGAATTAATTTGCGTTTTTGCGAAGAAAAAAGAAGAAAAAATACTACCGTAAATTTTTATCACTAGAAAATTGTGTAAGAAAAATTTACGAATTTTGATTAAAACGATTTTATTTTTGTTAATTCAATAAACCAAAAAAAAATATAAATAAAATATTCATATATAATAAAGATAAACCTATTTTCAGAAAGGAAAAGAAAGACTATTTTCTATGGAGATGTATAAAATAAGAATGTATAAATACTCTCGTTTAGAAAAAGAAAAAGATTCCCTTCTGATGGAGGAGCCAGTTCGATATTCAAGGATGTTTACCGTCTTTTATAGACTTTGCCACGCAACGATGCGCAATCGTTTCATATACATATCAATAATAATATTCACGAAAAATGAATCGTCATGTTGACAAACGATCCATCCTTTCTATCCTCGTCTTAAGAATATAAGAAAATTTATAAAATTATACAGAATAATAATAATAATAATAATAATAATAATAATAATAATAATATTGTTTTTGTTTATCTATTTTTTTTAATTCATCTGAAACTAAATTAAATAAGATAATGAATGAATACAAGCTTATACCATATCGAGATATTATAAATTCGTATCATCAATTGACATAATATAAATATGTTTGTCAATACATTTGTCAATTTTCTAAGAATTTTATTTCGAAAAAAAGGTTACAACATCATTTCGGAGATTAACATCGAGTAGAAGAATTTACGGAACACACTTGTCACAAAAGTACATAGAACATTATATCAAAGCGAAGATTTATATAGGAGAAGGTAGGATATATTTCTCGAGTCCGAGTGGTAGGTATAATATACTTAAGTATATAAATACCTATTGAAGAGAGGGATTATATACTATAAGAAATGTAGAGGACGAATAATACGGTACAGGCATAGCCTAAATTGTCCGATCTCATTCAGCTCTATAATATTTAAGAACAAAATTTTCTAAATGACGAGATAATACGTGTTTCGAGATGAAATGAAAGAAGAGATTTGAGAGGGCGGTAGTGGCGGCGTGGGGAGGGGGTTTTTTTAAACGATGAGGAAATTTTAAGAAAAAGAAAAAAAAAGAAGAAAAAATATAAGCAAATAAAAAATTAAAAAAAATTGAGAAAACACTACACACAAAAAATAACGCGTGTATGTGATGTTACTTCAGTTTTGAGTCGAAGCGTTCGAGGGGTGGGTGAGGAGGAGGGCTTAGGTCAAGCTGGAAAAACGTAAACTCGGCCTTTACCTTGTCGTCGTCGTGCGGCGTGGGTGGCGTGGGTGGCGTGTACATGCGAGGCGCGAAGTCACCGATCGAGGATGCCCCACCTGTCGAAGATCCTTGGCTCCTTGGTGGACTGAGATCAGGGATGGCCGCGTGATAATCTTGGAGGCCGGTCGGTATCACCCCCGTGGGCAACACGGGACGATACTCGGCTCGTACCTCCATAACTCCCTAAATAGGGACACTTCGAAACTACCCCCCTCCCACCCTTCCAAATTCACTCTTCCTTTTTTTTTCCTTCTATTATTCTTCCTTTATCCCTCTGCAGTTTAATTCTTATTTTGTTTTTTTTCTTATTAGTTTTCCTTTACTTTACTTTAAAATCGCACACAATATTATTTCTCTATCTATACGAAAATTTTCGAACGAGTTCTTTTGGTCCACCTCCACCTTGTTCTCTTAGTTCTTCTCGTTTTTGTCGTTGAAAACGTTTTACACGTAATCGTCGTCGTCGTCGTTGTCGTCTTAATCGTCGTCGTGGTCGTTGTCGTAGTCGTAATAGTCGGAGTAATCGTAATCGAAGTCGTTGTTGCTTTCGTCGTCCTGATTGTCGTAGTGAGAAGAGCAATTAGATGTTTAATCGTTTGGTGTCCTCTCCGTTGCTACTTTTGGTAATATACGAAAAATAGGACCTTGCTCGAGATATTAGTTTATTCACGAGACCTGACCTTGACGTTCCTCTGATATCTCCTCCACTGGAAAGTCTTTTAGCCACGACCTTGTATAACGCCTCGTCTCACGACGATTGACAATCTCATAATAACACGATTGCGTCGGAATCAAGCAAAGTGTTGTGTACTACTACAGACGACAGTAAGTAAGGGAGTAACAGATCAAGGGGAAACGATCCTTCTTTCTCTTTTTCTATACAACCTTGTTGATCCTCCTCCTCCTCTTCCTCTTGTTTCTTTTTCCTCGTTTCCTCCTCCTCCTCTTCGACAAGCACCACCTCTCCCTCTCCCCCGCTTTCGCCCTCGCCTCCGCCCCCGTCCCCTTCCTCACTTCTTCCTCCTTCTCCTCCTCCTCCTCCTTCGCCACCGCCAGGAACAATTCGCGGTCGAAGATCGATCATAGACACGTTTCTTCAATCGTATTTTATACTACGAATGATGATACATTTAAATCTGACGACAATCGAAATCCTATATGCCGGGGAGTGAGCGTGGCGAACGCGTTCCACCGAACGCGCGCGTGTGTACTATTATACTACTACTACTAAATACAACTACTAGTACTACTACCTATATAATCGGCACTGTGTGTTTATGTGGCTCCCGCCAAACTTCCTTTTGATTATCCTCTTGTCCTTTATCAATGGCGATAAATACGATCGAGATTTACGTACAATTATTTACCACGATAGATTTAATGTTAATTATCAATGATGATCAATAACGCACGAGCACACTCACGTTCATATGAAATCGATGATAAATAAAAATGATAAACGAGATAAACCACGCGACGTCAAGAAGAATAGATGGATGATAACACTTCAGTCCTCGGTAATTTTTGTTTTTTTCTTTTTTTCTATCGTTTATAAATCTCTCCACGTTGTATACGAAACACGAATGTCAAAGTAATTTTTAATTCGTACGTAACTCTAATCAAACAAAAGTAACGCCGCTTTTTCTTTTCTTTTTTACTCCGGATTGCTTTTGTATCGCCTTTACGCTTATAGATCCCACGTTAGGTTTTGTATATACCTTAGGGTGATGCTCACCCCTTGGCTACTTTTTGCCGACTGAATGTTTTGCGCCGCCGTGGCGGCCCTCGGAGCGGCTGGAGCGTGCACTACCCCCACTACGACTACTAAAACCCAAGTTTCTCGCTCCCCCCTCTTTGCTCACACTCTACTACCGTCCGTCCCCTGCTACTTCTCTTTCACTCTTTCCCTCTCTCTTTCTCTCTCACTCACTCACTCACTCACTCACTCTTTTTCTCTCACGCTATCTTCTCACTCTTGCTTGGCTACGTATATCTGCCTGTCGCCGTCCTCCTCATTCTCCTCCTCCACATCCTCATCCTCCACCTCCATCTCATTCTCCTCCTCTTCTTCTTCATCTTCCTCCTCTTTCTCTATTTTACTACACTGCGATACGTTGCCTCGTCTCGCTCTTTCTTTCGAACGTCGCGCATCTCTCGAACTGATCCCACCCTACTATCTATCCATCTTTTTCTCTCGCCCGTACATACGAGTGAGGTTCGTAAAAAGAGAAAAAGATAGAGAAGAGAGAGAGAGAGAGAGAGGGAGAGAATGAGCGAGCGAACGAATAAGTGAGTATATGAGCAAGCGCATATACGAGGGGTGCGGAGGGATAATTAAGCGGGAATATCGCGTCCTCCAAACCTCTCTCTCTTTCTCTCTTTCGGATAAACTCTATTACCTTCCCCCCCTTTCTCTCACTCTCTTCCCCCATGTATGTTTTTCTCTAGCTCTCCTCTTCCTTCCATACCGTCTCTCCCTTTTTCATTTCCTTTTTTCATTGCACTAGCCGAACCCGTTCCTATTTCGTTCATTCCATTCCCGTTCCATTTCGTTCCGTTCCGTTCCTTTCTCTTCCATGCGAACTTACTTTCGTTTCATCGAAAGCTATCGATGAAAATCAAGTGTTCTGCAACCCCCTTCAGTCCTATCACCACCGCCGCAAACTGAATTTTTGTTCTTGTTTTTTAATGAACACTAGCCAAGGATATATTTTATAAATCGATGCAATCGATCGATTATTTTCTTTCGTTCAATGCACGAGCAGAAATCTCGCTAGAAAAGAGAGTTTGCTCATTATCGGTATTAACTTCTGAAAGTTAAGGAAAGGGGAAGTTTCGATATCGTTTAAGATAAAATCACAGAGCAAGCGCCGACTTACGAAGAGAGAGACAGAGAGAGAGAGAAAGAGAGAGAGAGAGAGAGAGAGATTGGGGTTAATTAAGGTAACGTATCGCGTGGCGAGTTTCATTTTTCGTCTTTGCTTCGTCTTCCCGAATCCCCCACGTCCCACCACTCCCCCTCCCCCTTTTTCTCGCTCTATTTACTCACAGAAGAAGAGTTTATTTTATTCGACGGAGGGGCTTTAAAGTCTGGGCGTTAGTTAGCGAGACGCATAAATTTTCGACCAGCTCGAAGTTCCTAGCGTCCTGGTGAGTTCCGTTCTCCATTCCGTACCGTGTTGCATATGCATAATATGTGTAAATGAAATTTATGTGGAGAGAAACGTTGAAACTTGCTTTACTAAGCGTTGTTGCTTGCTTGCTTACTTGCTTGCTTGCTTGCTTACTTGCTTRCTTGCTTGCTTACTTGCTTGCTTGCTTGCTTACTTGCTTGCTGGATTGCTTGCTGGATTGCTTGCTTGCTTGCACTATCGCCTATTTACGTACATAATATACGAGTTACTATACCTAGCTACCTGTTATATCTTTCCTAAATGTGTATGCAAGTAAATCGCATAATCGGGCGACGAGCATCGAGTGCAGGATGGTCATAAAGAAATTTCATATAACGTTGATATTTCAGCCAAAACACTCGACGACTGGATTAGATTGCCACTCTCTATCTCTCTCTCTCTTTCATTCTTTCTCTCCTAATTCTTTCTCTCTTTTTCTCACCCCTTCCCTGACTTGATCTCCTCGTTGCATATGCATAAGCAAAGCAAATGAAATTCATATCGAGGGAGAAAACTTACTTTCGTAGACGAGGCGTTTCGAACTTCGAAATTGTCTTTGGTCTTGATGTTCGATAAGATAGAAAAGAACAAAATAGTATGGGATAGTAAGAAAAACGAATAATCATTTTAGCGATTTTTTTTCTTTTTCTTTCCTTTTAGTCTAAAGATCAAAGTTAATCCAATGCTAAGAGAAAAGAAGAAACAGTAAAAATGAGTGAGAGAAAGAGAAAACGAGAAACCTGTTTTCATTAAATCATTTCGTCCGAAATCACGTAACTTTAAATTATCATTAAAAACGTGTTAAGTAAGTTAATTGTAATTTTTGTTTTTGAGGTTATACTTCTTTTGAGCGTGTTAAGGAAAAAATGATGAGAAATGAATTTTTACGATGTGCGCGCACAGCGACACGAAAAAAACTTAACTGAATGAAGTTAGTCGATATTTATTCGATATATTCAATATATCTGTCTTATTTCGTATTTCTATATACAAAAGACGTGTTTATTATTTTTTCCTTTCTATTTTTATTCTGGTCCACTTATTATCTGATATAATTGTCGATTCTGATCGATGTTAAAATACCACGAATCAAAATGATGGTTTTTATCTTATCGAAAAACGTCTTATACTCGTGAACGTACTCTTACGTTGAGATTATCCAATAAGATTTTCATTTCATTATTTTATAAATGAACAAAGTTTACAAAATAATGTATTTATTTTCTAAGGAATTACTCACATTATATCGAAATTATTCTTACTATTCTTATTATTAATATTTATATTGTCAAGCATAGACCGAGCAACACATCGCGATTGGTAAGAATAAGCCTGTTTCGTTTCTTTCGTAGAATCGTCGAATCGTCACGATTGAAAATGCATCGTCATAGACGGTTGCCTTCTGTTACCCAACCGTTCTTCTCACTCATCGACACCTCGAAATTTAGTCGGACTCCTCTCTCTTTCTCTCTCTCTCTGTGTTGCTGCTGCTGTTCGGCAGCATCATGACGCATCGTTTTTCTCCTACAATTCGTTTTCGTGTTGGAGCCCCTTAAACGAGCGTTGGTAAAGATCGTGGAGGAAGAAGAGGAAGGAGGGTGGGGAGGATACAAGCAGAGACGAAGTCCCATCTTTACGAGTTAAGGCTACCGTTCGGTGTCGGTGAAGAAGAAGAAAAAGATGGAGTATAATCTTTTTAGTAGATAAAGAGGCACGCGTGCGACTAAATCGTACAAGAGAAAAGTTGAAATTTGTCAAAAACCCACGGACCCATGTAACGTCTCCATAAGGGTCGACACCGAGAGGAACGAGTTTCATCCTTCTTTTTTTACTTCTTTTTTCTTTTTATTTCCTCTTCTTTTCTTTTTTTCTTCACTGTCACTCTCTCTCTCTCTCTCTCCCCTATTTTTCTCTCTGTGTCATGTATACTTCAAGAGAGATATTCTTTCTCTTTTTTTCTTGGATTTTTTCTTTTCTTTTCTTCATTTTTTCTTTCTTCTCTCAATAAGCAACACCACTTTGGTCTTAAGGGGGATGAACTAGCGCGCGTGCTAGTTTTTACTTTTTGCACGCACACCGTTTTTTGTGTTTTCTACAAGAGAGAAAGAAAGAAAGAAGGGGGATGGACGAGAAAGCAAATGAGCACTTTTCAAATGAAAAAAGAAAAAGAAAAAAAAAGGTTCGGGTTCGGGCGCCACCGAGAAAAAGTCACGGGAACGCTTATACTCGCGGTATCTTTTCCTTTTTTTTTGCATATATATATATATATATATATATATATTATTTTTTGTGCTTTTTTTCTTTTTTTTCTAACGAATTGCTATGACTTAATTCATCTTCCACTCTTCTCGTTTTTTCCTGGTTCCTTCCGTAAGATTCTCCCTACTGTCATCCTATCTCTGCGGTTGACCGACTTTCCTTTTTTTGCAATCTTCTGCCGCCCCGTTGTTGCGTCTTGCTTTTCTCTCGTTTTTTATCTCCACCCTTGCTTGACTTTCTTTCTCTCTTTCTCTTTCCTTTTTTCTCTCTCTGTCCGTCTTTCGTGTTTGCATTTACAAACGACTGGGATCACCAACGACGTCGAGAAAGACTAGAAAGAAACAGGGAAAAGATCGTTCGATGCTCGACAGCAAAAGGGAGTTTAAAAATCTCGAGATTCTTTCGCTTATATTCTCTCGTTAGACATTCACTCGTATTAGGGGATTTTTCTTTTTTTTTTTATATATCATTCCACATTTTTCTTTCCTTCTTTCTTACTTTCTTTCTATATTTTTTATTTT